CATGGGATGGGGGAGCAGGGGTGGGCGGCTGATGTGGCAGGGGGCTTTTGGGGTGAAAGAGCTGTTCCTGGGTGGGGTTGGGCGGCTGCTGCCCCTGCCACGGGGCGGGGGGGATGATATGACAGGTTTTGTTATGCTTTGGGTATTTGCACTGCCCAGCTCTAAACCAGCTCCTGAGGCTCTCGTTGCACCCTGCTAGGGAAGTTTTGGGGTGTGTGTTATTAAAGGCCAACAGGACTAAAGAGAGGGGCTTGTTCCACCGCCTGGTGATAAAAACGTGCACCCGAGACATGGCAGGACTCGGTTCAAACCTTTGAAAGAAATTGCCATTATCCAGTTCCTTATATGAGGAAGAAAAAAATATGCAGGAGAGTGCAAAAGGACTCATTGCAGAGTCGCGCTTGGCTGGGTGGTGAGGATGCTCGCCGGGCGCTGGGGAGAGTTGGCTCAGTCTGGTCCAGGTCCTGTCCAGGGCTGTAATCCTGCCCTGCCACCGCTCTGGGTAATTCCCTCCTTCCAGCCTCCTCTCCACCGTGTGCAGGAGCAGTTTCAGGGGGGACCTGTGGGAAGGGAAAGCCATTTTCCTTTCACCTCTGCTAATAAAAATTTGGGTGCAGCTTTAGCTGATGGCGATTTGAATGTTCCTGAAACCAGGAAACTCATGTACAGGTGGGAGAAAAATTGAAGGAAATTCTCAAGCTTTCCAAAAGTGAATCCCCTCTTCTTATACGACTTTTACTCACGTTGGAGGAGCCAAGCTTATTAGCTATTGAATAAGCAAAGTGCTGCTTTAATTTCAATTTATGTGTAGAAAGGGATGTATTTGAGGTGTAAATACAGTAACTGCTCGCTATGTGCCTGAGCAGCTCGGTGCCTCTATGCCAAGCACCGGCTTTGACTGTAATTATTTCTGAGAGCTCCAAGGTGCCTCTTGCCTGGTGTGACAGACTTTGGTGGCCACGTACGGCTGTCTCTGACACCTGCTCTGTCTCAAAACGATGATCACAGATGAGGAAGCTTTAGCAAAGGATCTGAGGGAAAGGAAACGTAGCTGGAATTCACCACCGTCTGCCCCAAAGGAAACCCTGATAGTCCAGATATCTTTTCTTTGTGCAAGCACAGGCCGAGTGGCTCAGCCTATGCTGGTGCTGCGCTATCTCCAGCAGATCTGCTAAGCCTCAGCAAACGGGTTTTGGCAAGCAGCCGGCTGGGGAGGGCTGCACCGGGCGAGCGCTGCTCGAAGCATCCATTTCAGCCCTCACAAAGCCACCCGACCGCATGATAATTAATCAGGGCTTGGGTTTTGCCCCCCACCAAGGGAGCATTTGAGACCGGGCAGCGTCGTGGAGGTCGAGCTGTTGTCCTCAGCTCTGCAGATGGGATGCGCTCAGGGAGCCCTGCCTGGCCCCCAGGGAGCATAACCAAACCTGTGCACAGCGTCTGTCCAGCTAATGAGAGGGGCATTGTCGCCGGTGAAAGGTCTGTCATTACACCTCATTAACTATTCTTTTCAGGTCTGTGCCCCAGCGCAAGGCAAACCAAGGATGAAGCCCAGCTTTGCCTCTGCGGGTAAGACCTGGTGGGGCCAGCGGTGATTTGCCACCCCCAGGAGGGTGGTTTGCAGTGTGGAGGGCAGGGATGGATGGTTGCCTCCTCCTAAAATAAGAAGAATTTAGCAATAGGATTAGGATTTGAAGCAAAATCTTCACCGTTTTTGATCACCTGGAAGCAGAAACGTTCCATGCTGAGCACAACATGTAGCTGAGCCGGAGCAAAACGTGTGCGCTTCCAAGGCCTGGAGACCAACCCCAGACACGCTGCCATCCCGGAGGCCTTTTGAAGCGGGAGCGATCGGAACAGAGCGGCTCACCCCAAAAATAAATAGCGCCAGTGTGAAAATGGGGGGGCTCCAGATGAGCCCTCGGGTCTGGCAGTGCAAGGGCATTTGTGTCTTTGTGCTGAAAGGTTTGGATGGGGTCTGTGCCCCGATGCGCCCTGGGGTGAGGCTTGTCCTGCCGCCGAGGGTGCACTCAGCATCCTGACCCTTAGATACTTCTCTGCATCCCAGGGGCCAGAAGATAGACTCATAATTGTTGCCGTTGTTAGAAATATTTCAGTATTGCTCATTTTGGCTATGCCGATTATTTCGAGTGCAGAGTGAGCCACAATTTGAATTAACTCTCCTTCAAAATGTCGTAGCCTTTCAAACCGGGACGATGAAGGTGCCAGTCATGGTGAGAAATCTTTGTAAAACGGCCGTAGAACTGAAGCTACTTACTGCTGCTGAAGCAAACTGATGCGAATGGCTAATCTGAGTTCAAGGGATAAGAACATCCCAATCAGCCCGTCCAGGAGAAGATGAAGCATTTGAAGTGACGTGACATAATCCCTGCGTGTCGAGTCAGGAATTTGGGAGAGGAATCAGGCTTAAACGCTCGCTAGAAAATTCAGCGTCGAGGTGGAGGTGCTCAGATGTGATGCATGTTGGATGTACCTTTTTTCTTGGGTGCCACCCTTGAGTTTTTATGCCTTTTTGGTGGTGTAACCATTTGGTGTCCAGCACCAGAAGCCATGCGTGGTATGGGAGGGATGGTGTGAGCCTCCTGCAGGGCGCGGGCCCTCAGCCCTTGCAAGAGAGCAAATACAAACTCAATCCCCAGCTTGAAGCGAGGGGGGAATTGCCTTGGATTTTGGGAGGGTGTTGCGAGCCCGCTCCCGCGGTGCCGTCCTTCCTCAGCAGAGGATGTGCTATGGTCTGCGGTCAAGGCCGTGTTTTCACCTTTAGCTCTAAATGGCCTTTTTCTTCCCTCAGTAGCCCTGAACAGTAGTTGTGTCACCCTTGCATGTGTTTGTCTGTCCTAAGTTAAAAGTCAAAGCCTTGGATTTCATCTCTGGAAACATGAAACGTAAAAGATTTCAGGGAAACCAGCTGTGTTCCCTTCTGTGGAGTTTCACAACGGATGAGCTCTGCAAAATAAGGCCTGCATTGTTGTTGCAGTCGCTGCTTGCTTTTGATATTTTCTTTTTATTTTTATTTCCGTGATGAGATTAAATTCTATATGCTGCTCCTTCTCCTGGGAATGGTTTTGAGGCGGCTCTCTTCATAG